ATGTGAACTAAAATCTTATGAAAATTTAATATAATTTTGTCAAACTTGTAAGACTTATTGTATATATTTTTAAACTCAAGAAAAATTAATAGAATTTACTAAAATATATATATATATATATATATAATATGCATCAAAATTGTAATTTTTTTAACATTATTTTAATATTATACAACATTTTTGAATAGTACTTAGCCTAACGAGTAATGATATACATAAAAAAATTATATAAAATTTTTATACAGAATGATATAATTTAATGTGCACCTTTAATTTTAAAACAAAACATTCATAAAAATTTATTTGAGATAATGATATTGTCACATTATTCTTGTAGAGTATTTTTTGTATCAATTCTATGTATGAATGGAACTTTTTTAAAACATTATTCAACAATTTTCATACATGGTTAGGTAATTACTTTAGGGGAATTATGATTGATGAAAGAGTTGAGACTCATAATTTTGTGTCGAGACATAAAAAATAAGAAAAAAAAATATTATTTGATAATTGATGAGTGATATGAGCACGTAATATCAAGGATGCTGAGTTTTATGGGGAGCAGGTAAGATGGTTGATTCTCAGCCAATTCTTTGACAAACAAAGCAACCCATTTATTGGAACTTTGACTTTTCACATCGACGCCTACTTCGTTGGTAAGTCTTTAGAATTCATTTTCTATGTTTAATTTTTAAATTTGATGATGTTCAAATGAGGTAATTAATTGATGATTAAAGAAAATATGAAAGAGATAAAGTTTCCTTACATATTAGTAGACTGTCACACTATTAAATTTAAAAAATATAATTAATTTTTAAATTAAAATATTGCTATAAAATTATATCCTACCATGATAGCAACATTTCATGTGTCCACTTGAAGATGTTGATTGAAAAGTTAGAGTGACTAAATTATCACGGATGAACAGGCGATTTTAAGATTGTCGCTCTGAAATTTTAAAAAGTCTTATTTAATATAGTAGATTAGCTAAGAATATGTCTAAATTATATAAGTTCGCCATTAACATTTTGAAAAATTTGATACTCATCCCCTCTAAAATATTTTCATATTTGTAGTTGAAAATTCAAAGTTGCTTATACAAAGAAAATTATTTAGACAAATATTTGAAAAACAAAAGACTGGTGAAACTACTTTATCAATTTGAATTCAATTTAGTCCTAATTTTTATAGTCCAACTCTACACGCATTTATTTTATCTCTCTCTCCTATTCTTCTTATTTTTTGCAGTTCTCTCGTCTTTTCTTATCTCCTTTTATTTGATTTTTTCTTTTTTGACATTGTTTTGATTCTCTCTTCAAAATTTTTTTTTTTAATTTCCTTTTCATCTCTTCTATATCAGAAGTTTAGGATTTAAGGTCTAGGCGAAAGATAGAACACATTTTTTATGTACTTTTATTAAAGTAAAATGTTTGATAGTATTAGAGTCACTCTTGAAATTGTAAAAAATAGTACCCTAGAGCCAAGATTTCTATTTGTGGAGTATTACCACCAAATCTATAACCAGTTACCCAAATCTCAGGTTTCCTTATGTAGTATGAAGAAAACAATAAATATTTCCAACATTGTCCGCTAACTTGTTTGCCTTTCCAATACTTCCATATTTTATACCTACGCACACATGGATCTCTCCTTTATAAATATGAAAGGGCCAGAGATTTTCTTTAGTCCATTATGTACATTAATGGTGTTGCCTAAGCTCAAGCCTAAATCCAAGTCTGTTGAGCTCATCATAAGAATATAAGGTTTTTTTTTTTTTTTTTTTTTCATAATTCGATTCATATATTTGTCATTCAATTTTCAAAAATAAATATGTGAAATTATGTCGTTATGATTATTAAATTAGTTATAAAAAAAATGATTTATTCATAAGAACATAAAAATTAAATGAATTGAATTATAATAAGACTTTGTAATAAATTCTACAATAGACAGCAAATAATTTGTTACATCTATTCTATATTATAAAATGTCAATACTGAAGTCGGTATAAAGACAATTTTTTCAATTTTCTCAAAATAACCCTAAGACATTATAACTACTTAGATCTAAATCTATGTATTAATTGCTTCAATTTTTTATTTTTTGATTTTTCAATTTTTCAATTCAAACATGTTTCATATTTTTTAATTTTGAATTCAAATAAGACTTCTCAAAATCCTATGGGGTACACACCACTTATAGTATGGGTTAATGCTGTGGTACACATCATTCAAAATGTGTATATCATATGCACTCTTATTACGTATTTTTGTGGCAAAGTATTTTGGATAAACTATTAATAAGTCTTAATAGTTCGACTTAATTTCCATTAAGTTCTATTAAAAATAAGTCTTAGCAAAATCGTCACCAAAAATAATTTTTTGTAACAATTTTTTACAGGTCACTAAAAATTAACAATTAGTGACGTTTTGTGTCACGATTTTTATAAATTGTAGCTAAATTTACAATTAGTGACATTTTTTTATAACAAAATTTTCAAACTGTCATTAAAAGTTGAAAATTAGTGACTTTTTTGTCACGATTTTTTTAAACTATTGTTAAAACTTATAATTAGTGAAATTTTTTGTAACAAACTTTTCAAACTACTGCTGAAAATTAACAATTAGTAGCATTTTTTTAATAGTATTTGATGAAAAATGTCATTAATTATGATATGACCTATTGAATAATAAGTTAATTTATTAAGACCTATACATAAGCCTCCCAAGTGTTTTTTTAGAGGTGACAAACCCAACTCAAACTCACGAATCTGCCCAATTATACTTATTTAAAATCCATATTAATCCGCCTAAATCAATAAAGGGGCATTCTATTTGAACCCAAAAAATATCTCAGTACGGACAATTTAAATTTATAAATTTTAATTCCTATTATATCCTAATGTGAATTTACTAATTAGGGCAACACATATTAAACCCTAAAACAATTTGTTTTTTCTCATGGTACATCCTAATTTATTATTCCTATTCAAATCTCTACACCTTATTTCTCAAAAGATCAAAGTTATTTTGTCTTCTTCTTCTTGTCATTTTACTTCTTTTTCTTCTTTTTACTCCAAAACTCCAATCCACCCTATCAAAACTCACCATTTTTTTCACCATTATCATTAATATCATTATTTTTTTATTATTTTGAAACGCTAAACCCTAAAAGAAACTTTGAACAATCAAACAATGAGTGAAAGTGATAATCAAGATAATTTTTTGAAAGAACCCATCAAAGATGATGTAAGCATTCATATAAAAATCAAAATAAAATTATTAATTTATGTATTTTTTCACATGTCCCATTACAATGTTAAATCTTTCAATTTTTAGAATCATATAAATAGCATTACAGCATTTAATAAAAATTTCTTTGATATAATCTTTGAACTCAATGATCATATTAGTATCCGTCACACAAAAAACGAGCTATATCCTGTGGCACTTTTTAATAAATTTTTTTTTTTTGCTCTTTTACTCTTTCTTTCTGTTGAACTTTATGTTTGTTTTGAAAAAAAAAATAAAAAAATTATTGTTTCTGTTATTTTCTACTTACGTATTTTTTTATGCACATACACTTAAATTGTGAAAAAATATAGAAACAAATTTAATAAAGACAGTAAGCCAAGCAAGGTAGTTGAGTATTTTCTCATTCAAGCATTTTTTCAAACACAGAGTAATCAACAAATTAGAATAGCAAACCAAATTACAATAATTTATAATTCAGAAATAAAATTATGTCATTTGAAGGATGTGTACTGTAAAATTTTCGGTATGACATATTACTATATTAGTAGTGAAAACAAAAGGAAAATCGGTGATATTGAAATGAAACCTACAAGAATAAGACCAAGGTTTTAAAAAGCGGCCGCAACCGTTACGTAACGGTTTTGGCGGTTTTCGCCACCCGTTATGGCCGCTTTTGCAGTGTGATTGAGATTCACAGGTGTGTCGGCCGTAGCAGTCGTAATGGTGCCGTAACAGTCGTAACGGCCTGTTACGCACCGTTACGTAACGGTTTCAAACTGTTTCTTCCGAAAAAACACACAAAAAAAAACTGAAAATGGGGGAAGAGGGATAGAGAGAAGAGGGAAAATAAAGAAAGAAAATGGAAGAGCAAGAGATAGAGAGAGAGAAGCTGAAGAACATGTTACTGATTTGTTGAAACTGTAAGATCTATGCTATTCTATTCAGCTGTTATCACCAAACCATTTTGTTTGTGTGTGTCTATATCTATATATTGTTTGAAAATAATAATAATAATAAGTGTGGTCATTATCTATTTGACTTGGTTAAAATATGTATATATATATATATATATATTTAGGCTCTTATTTATTCTCTTACTTTTGTCATTATTTATCTTATATATAATAGTTAGTGATTGATTTTTTGTATAATATAAAGTCATTAATTATTAAAATAAAATGTGAAAAACTCAATTTATAGTGATTTAAAAATATGAAATATATTGAATCATACTTAAAAATTTACAAAAATTGATCAATATTTATTTTTAACCCAATAAATATGATCATGGAAAAAAAATATGCTTATCGGTAAGTTTTTTTCAAATTGTACGAAAAATAAAAAAATTCACGGTTCCAATTACCGCAACCGTTACACTACGGCCTTTACACTCCGTAACCGCAATCGCGTCACCGCCACCGTTACGACGACCGCAACTGCTTTTCAGAACCTTGAATAAGACAGTTGTGGAATACTAACAAACAAAAACCTTCGGAAAACTAACTGTTAATGTACACTAAACCTAACCCACTAACCTAACCCACTACATCCACCCCACTAAACCTAACACACTTACCATCTCCACTACCACCCACCACCTCCACTACCATCCACTACCACCACTCACTTACCTCACACCTCTCCTATATAATAGCTTGTAACATACAAATCAAAATACACAACAATCTTGTAATCAAAATATCAATCAATAATATACATCAATTTATTTTAACACTAACTATTAACCAGATCACCATGTCTCATGAAACCAACCTCCTCATGAGTTCTTTTATTCTTCTCCTCCTTCTCCAATTTTGCATGGCCAGAGACACCATAACCACAATCCAATCTCTCAAGGATGGTCAATTCCTAGTCTCCGGCAACGAGACCTTCGCACTCGGGTTCTTCAGCCCTGGCAAGTCCACCAACCGGTACCTTGGAATATGGTACAACAATGTTTCAGAACAAACTGTGGTGTGGGTTGCAAACAGAGACAAGCCAATCAATGACACACCGGAAACCTCGTCATTCACGGTCCGGACAAGAAAATCCCGGTCTGGTCGACCAATGTGTCGGCCTCGGGGAATGTCCTTTCAGCTCAATTGTTGAATTCAGGGAATTTGGTGGTGTTTCAAGGTGATAGTAAGGGGGCTGTCGTGTGGAAGAGTTTTGATTATCCTACCGACACCATGCTTCCTTTAATGAAACTTGGGGTGGACCGGAGAACCCAACTGAACAGGTTTCTGACATCTTGGAAGTCACGTGATGATCCGGGAATCGGAGAGTACTCGTTGAAAATAGACCTTATTGGGTATCCGGAGTTTTTTTTTGTATAGGGGTTTGGTCCGGTTATGGAGAACCGGACCGTGGAATGGGGTTAGATGGAGTGGGGTACCAGAGATGGCACCCAGTGCCTGAAGAGCTGTTCATGCCAAGGGTATAGCAGTGCAGAGATTTCACTTGGGGGGGATTTAGAGTGGATGTGTGACGTGGCATGGGGACTTGATGGACACAAAAGAGTTTTCAAGTGGAGGCCAAGATTTATACATGCGCCTTGATGCTGTCGAATTAGGTATGCAATCAATATGTCATGTTGATATTAAGTTTTCCTTCATATTCATCTCTTTGTATCACTATTGTTTGGCAAGTTAACTATTTTAACCACAACAAACAAAATATCACATCCAATCCATAATCATTACACTCTTCTCTCACAAAAAAAAGTTAAAAAAGTCAAAAAATTATTTCCAAACCAAGTTTCTTAACCTGGGCTAAAATAATCAAAAAAAGTCAAAAAGCTAAAAAGCCAACCCACTACCCAAATAGAGGCTTTATATTGTTTTTTCGGACTTCAATCCAACACATATAGTTGATTCAAATAATTTATTTCCAACATTTTGTAATAAAGATTATTTATGTAAAAAATTAATTTCATCGAACAACTATAAATATATGAACAAATTATGTTTTATTTTATAAAATGGAAGGTTTAAGTTAACAATCATATTTGTCATTTATTTTATAAAATAAAATGTGATTTGTTTTTGTGTTTATAAATGTTCGATACAACTATTTTTTTTTTACATAGATAACCTTTTTTTTTAATCAGTAAAAAAGAAAATTTTATTGATGAAAAAATGTAAATAACTTTTATTGCAATAAGTATGAAATAGACAGTTTGAATCGTCAATATAGGTCCAAATTGAAATCCTCAAATATATATATATATATATATATATATAAAAACAGAGACATAAAGGTATGAAGAGAAATTTATCCTAAATTTTTTGAAACAAGAATTTTAAACATGGCCAATCATGTTGAAGAACTCTTGCTTAATTTATCTAGAATGAATGATTGAAGACAAACTCAGGCAACACAACTAAAAAAGAAGACCTAAAAACATATATGTGTCAGCATGATAAGTTCTACTTAAACCATTTGTTACACATATCCATGTGGTAGTAACATGTATATTTTTAAAATAATAATAAAAGCTCAAGAAAATTACTTAAAAAATTGATCAGATTTATTTTAGATATAATCCATGTCATACTTTAAGTTTAAACTTTTCTCACAATTTCATTTTAAAATAACTTTACATACTTTTTAAGCTCTTAGCGGATCCAAAATGGAGTGGCTACAAATATATACTAAAGTATGACAAAAGGTAATAAAGTGAGGTCCAAAAATATGTTTTAACTTTAATAGTTTGTTAATTTAGATAGCAAGTTATGCTGTAATAAATGTGTTAAAATGAATGTGCTAAGTGATATATATATATATATATACACAAAAAAAAAAAAAAAAGCTAATAGGGTAAATTACACTAACCTCCCTTGATGTTTGAAAAAAATATAGCTAGTCTCATACTTTTGATATTATTACATTGGTCTCCTTTAAAGTTTTTATTAGGTCATATTTTATTAATAATTTGTTAATTGTATGAATGAAAAAAATATTGTGACATCTTTTATACTAAAATGTATATTTGTCTAAATGACAAATATACATTTTAGCATAAAAGATGTGACAATATTTTTTTTCTTATTATTGGATAATTTATTTTTTAACGGATGCTTAAAGGTCTTACTAATATAGCGCCGTAATTCTTATGTAGGCTTCCAAGTTTTTGGACTTCTACCAACTAATTTGAAAATTTACAAAACCCTACTTAATAACCAAAATTAATCACAATCCTCCTAATTCTTTTGTAGATGAATACTCTTTTTTTTTATATTTTATTTTGAGCTCATAGCACGGTGCTACCACAACACTCTTCTTGAAACCTGAAAGAGAAAGAAAGGAGAGAGGCGAGTGGTAGTAGGTGTGTGAAAAAAGAAGAAAGAGAAAGAGAGGAGAAGATAAAGAAAGCGACAGAAAAAGGAGTAGGACCACAACACAATTTTTATTTTTTGGAGGTAAATTACACTCACCTCTCTCCTGAGTTTTGAAAAAAATACGAATAGCCCTATATTTTTGACATAATTATATTAACCTCCATGTTAATAAAGCTAAAGTGACTTAAAACAATTTATAGTTATGTCAAAAGTATAGCTACTCGTATTTTTTCCAAACCTCAGGGGAGGTGAGTGTAATTTACCCAAAAAAAATAAAATTTGTATTGTGGTCCTACTCCTTTTTCTATTGCTTTCTTTATCTTCTCCTCTCTTTCTCTTTCTTCTTTTTTCACACACCTAAAACCACTCGCCTCTCACCTTTCTCTTTCAGGATTCTGGAAGAGTGCTGTGATAACACCGTGCTATGAGGTCAAAATAAAATATAAAAAAAAAAAATTTGAGTATTCGTCTACGAAAGAATTATGGGGGTTGTGATTAATTTTGGTTATTAAGTAGGGTTTTGTAAATTTTCAAATTAGTTGGTAGAAGTCCAAAAAATTGGAAGTCTACATAAGAATTATGGCGCTATATTGGTAAGACCTTTAAGCATCCGTTAAAAAGTAAATTTTTCAATAATAAGAAAAAAAATAAAAAATAAAAAATAAAATACATGAATGAGTAATGATATACAAACAAAATAATAATTTTATAGTTTTGTGAACTTTTTATTTCAAATAAAAACACTCAGAGTTATTCTCGTAATTTAAAAAAACTATCATTAATAACAAAAGTGACGTGTAAAAAATATCATTAACTATTATTCCCATATTTTTTATGAATAACATATAAGCATTTTGCTTTGCAAATCATTTTTCAAACATAAATATATGAAAAAGACCGCAATTGACCTGCACTTTAGCATCGAACGACTTTAGTTATTGCACTAACAACTCTATTGTGGAGAAAAGTAAACTTTTTTTTACTAACACAACCCTTAACAAGTCCATTGCTAATGCTCTTAGTTTCCTCTAAAATTTTAATATATTTTTTTAATCTTTAATTTAATTATATGTTTGTAGATTTACTCATTTTTAACCCTAACATGCTTGTTCATAAACCATCCTATTGTTTAGCCTTAGTTTAAAATTTTTCAAACTCGTCCGGTTGCCTTAATGAAATTCATTACGAGTTCTATTTTGATACTATTTGTTTTATTGGATGCTACTTATAGATTATCTATAAAAAAAATAAAAAATAAAAAAATAAAAGAGGAAAAATCAAATTTATCCTCAAATTGTCATACAGAGTAAAGTTTTGTAGTCCCCACTTTAATGATCGTGACTACATAAGTTTATCAGATTTGTCTTTGAAATGAACAATTTATTACAAAAGCACACTTCTTGTCTATTTTTTAATTTTTTTTTTTTTGAAAGATAAATCCATGAAATCATATATCTGCGATTATTAGATCAAGTTTTTTATTTTATTTTATTATGAATGGTGTACACTTAAAAAAACTTACAAAATGAATAACTCAAATTACTAGAATGGAACATGTTGAAGACACCATGAGCTCAAATGTACAAGATTAGACTTCTCTCCAACCAGCGAGAAACCGAATATTATTTGTTTTCTTTCTTCTTTTTTTTTTTTTAATTATATTTTATTGTAAAGATCACATAAGGGGAGGTAGATACCATGCCATGGGGTTGAAACACTAGTTGTAGAGTAATGCTATAATGATCATCTATTTTTATCATCTTATATTATTATTCGATATGTCAATCTAATCGTCAATACTACATTGGATATATACATGAGTGGTTAAACTCATTAGACTAATATTATGTTGACAAAAAGATAATAAACATATTATTATGTTCATCATTGCTTACTCAATGAACTTAATGTGCTATAAATTCCAAATTTTGAGAAACATGCAAACTTGAACTTATTTTTGCTATGAAAGCATTTTCTCTTTCTCTATTCTTTATTTTTGTAGCATAAATAAAAGAACAAATAAGAAAAAATCAAGCATAAATTATTAGCTTTTTATTTACAATAAATTAATAAATGGAGTGGCTATTTTATCCTCTTTTCAGCCCTATATTTGAAGTCACAACAATCTCATGCCAAGAAGGGCATGGTGGTGGCAATTGTAGTGTCCTCTGTTGGAGCTTTGTTTTTTGTAATCTGGTTACTTTCTTGGCTGGTGATAAGGAAGAGAAAAGGTAATAAAAACAACATTAATCTTCCATCATTATTCGTTTTCAAATATTGTAGCATGAAAAATCATATGTGATTATCAAATATGATGTCAGTGATTTAAGACTATATTTGAATTTTGATAAGATTTTCATTGAGTTGTGTGACAGTAAAAAGACGACAGAACAACTTGTTATTTAGTCCCAACAGCTCAACATCCTTTAAAACCATCCAAACGGGAAATCAATTTGATGAAAGTGAAACAAATGCCGAATTACCACTTTTTGCTCTAACCACCATTGTTGCCGCCACTGAAAATTTTTCTTCCTCGAACAAGCTCGGTCAAGGTGGCTTTGGAACAGTGTATAAGGCAAGACACCCTTCAGAGATTAAAATTATCTCAAAATTATGATTTATTTGTATTTGGAGAGTAAATAAGTTAATTGTGCATTGATTTCAGGGTCGGTTACATAATGGACAAGAAATAGCGGTCAAAAGGCTAGCAAAAAATTCGGGCCAAGGGGTGAAGGAATTCAAGAATGAAGTTACACTTATTGCTAAACTCCAACATAGAAATCTAGTGAGACTATTGGGATGTTGCATTCAACAAGACGAGAAAATGTTGATCTATGAATACCTACCAAATAAAGGCTTAGACTCTTTCATCTTTGGTATGCTTAATTTTTTGATTTGAGTTCATTTGTTTATTATCAATGAAATTTATGTAAAAACATAGGAGTACCTTCGATTTGTTGATAGAATTTACTTTTAACTTTGGCCCAGATAAAACAAAAGGCTCATCTCTAGAGTGGAGAAAGCGCTTCGAGATCATTTTGGGAATTGCTCGTGGGATGGTATACCTTCACCAAGACTCTAGACTAAGAATAATCCATAGGGACCTAAAAGCAAGTAATGTTTTACTCGATGCTTCAATGAACCCCAAAATATCAGACTTTGGTATGGCTAAAATATTTGGAGCGAACCAGATTGAAGCTAACACAAATAGGGTGGTTGGAACATAGTAAGTATCACTTATACATTCATGTGTGGAGTGAGAGAAATGTGCAAGAAAGGCATTAAATTCTAATTATTGTTTGACGTTGTAAATGCAGTGGTTATATGTCACCAGAGTATGCAATGGAAGGGCTATTTTCAATAAAATCAGATGTATTTAGCTTTGGAGTTTTATTATTAGAGATCATTAGTGGCAGAAAGAACAACAGTTATAATCAAGACAATTTTGTGAATTTAATTGGACATGTAAGTAAATCAATGTATTATTAATGGAAAAACCTACAGCTGCAATAGAATGGAGGATTTTCCATTACCTAGAAAATTGTTGCTTGATTAATTACCCAAAGATGATGTTATACATTGTTTCAGGTTTCATGACATCATTGAATTTCATAATACCATTTTTTTGTGATTAGCAAACTCTTTCATAGTCTAGGACTTTGGGCACGAAAGCCCTATTTGCTTCCTCAATTTCAATTTTCCCTAGTATGTACCAGTTTAGCCCCAAAGAGGGGGAGGAGGGGACTAGTAAGATACCAACAGTCTAGATAAAAAACTCGAAAGACAAAAATGAAGAACTTGAAGAATGTAAATGGAAAGTACGAGGGATGGGTAGAAAAACTTACTGATATTGGATGTCTTGTTGCTTTGTTTGGCTTAGCGTGGGTGCAACCGGGGTCTTTACTGGGAGTGTTACAGTGTTGGGGTGGGGCTAGGATGGGGTAGAGGCGCCGTAAGGCTTGGGTGCTTGCTTCCCATTGTTTGCTTTGATAGATTTGGTTAGAATGGAATAGGCGAGTGTTTCATGATGAATGTCATTCCGTTTTATAGTTAGAGAATAGGTTGTTGTTGGTGCTGCATAGTTGGGTTACGGGTATAATCGAACGCACTGTCTTGGTCTTTGTTGACTTTGTGGAGGATTTGATTAGTTAGTTTTGTTTAGTCCGTTTGTGGGTGGTTTGTTTGTATTCTTTGCATCGTCTTGATGCATTCTAATAAAGTTCTAGTATTTATCCAAAAAAAAAAGCTCAATGCTTATCTTTCCATATCATTCTATCAAATGTTCCAGAAGCATAATTTCATGCTCTACCCAACTACCTTATGAGAGAGAGAGAGAGAGACAGTAATAAATTGGATGACTACAAATTCAAATCCTGAAACAAAAGTTTTCAATGTATCAATTAGACTAAAGAGCAATGATTCCCTGTCCAAAAGCACAGAACAATAAACCTCATCCACTCTCTAAATCAGAAGTCTCCTAATAATGGAGCTGTACCAATGGTAGAAAAGGCAAGAGAACGAATATAGCACAAAATGTCAGGCTGAAGACTCAAGACACATCATTTAAAATAATAAATCTCAAGTAAAACTTTGAATGAAGACAATTAGTCAAGCTCCTAGAAATTGAAGTTACAACAAATTTCCACGGATCATGGGAAGCTAATGCAATATCTAGGAACAAAAGGCAAATATGAAGAGTTGTTGCCTGCAAATACATAATTACAAAAACATCACACAGAGGAATTTGAATAACATTGTCTCATCATTGTTTCTTTTTTCTTGGGTGGAGGGTTATAAGGCACCATAGCATAACCCTTGCAGCTTATTCCATCATACCTCATCTATTGGTTCAATCTTTTGATATAAAGAATCAAGAATGGAATAGGCCTTCGCATATTCATGAAGATGAAACCAGATAACTGCCTGTGTAGAGCCATTTTGAAACAAACATCAATCCAAATTAAGCGTCAGAAAAAAAGAAAAAAGGGGGGAAAAAAGGAATCAAAAATCAAAACCATTACAACAAGCCACCAATAAATTAACTAGACACAGTATCAATTGAACATACTATATTTAACATTGTCACAGAAGTGTCAAATTCATCGCCATAAACATGTGAACTATTTGCACTGGAAAATTGATGTGCCACACTATTGGTTCCTGTAGATCCCAATGCAGTTTTGTTGCCCAAATTGCCAACAGCGTTTGCATTTTCACCGGATGCATCAGCAAGCTCATCACTTCGTTTCTAAATCAAATTAAAGAATACAAAACAAAATGTGAGAACAAAGGAAAATTTTGAGACAATTGATAATCTAACGTGATAACATAACTATGATTCCTATTATTTCTATGATTATACATTCAATTTATTTTTTCCAATATTGTGAAAAAATATTAAACTTTTTTTTGATCGGCAAAAGAGATCTATATTGATGAAAAGAAGATTACATCAATAAAGAGGAGCTTGGAGCTAACAAAGCTCCAAGCTCCAATTGGTGAGAGACTAATAGAGCAAAAACAACAACAGAAAACAACACAAAATAGAAAACACAGAGGCAAGACAGATCAGCCAAAGCTTCCACAATAACACCTTAAGCACCTCAGACAAATAGCCTAACCTGGTGCAGGTTAGAAACAAAATCATGAGTAGAGTAATCAACCTTCAATAACCATTTGGCCCACAGAGCAATATGCAACTTAATTCTTTCAGTTAAATCTTCAACAGCAGGTAGAGCCCCTTTGAATTTACAATCATTTCTTAATTTCCACACATAATAGAACACCACAGATGGAATTACCTGCCAAATTATGGATTCCTTTAACTTGAACTTACCTCCAGACCACCATTGAAGCAGCCCCTGAACTGAACCAAGTATAGCCTATACCAGATCCCACCACCTTACCATTATAGACCAGCACTCCCAGATCAGTGGACAAAAGAGTAGCACATGATCCAAGGTTTCCTCCATAGCATTGCAGAAAACACAAGACGAACTAACAGTTGCAGTTAAGACCCCAATCATTTTAAGAAAAGACGAAGTCTTCACCCTCTCCCTCCAAGCCAGCCAGCAGAAAAATTGCATTTTTGGGGGAGCAGACTTAACCCATAATCCTACAGGAATATTCACACCAGGTCCATTTGCTGCCATCCACCACTGTCACACAGAGATCACTGAAAACTGACCTGAGGTGTTAGCTAACCATGAACAGGAATCTTCAATTTCAAATCTGATTACAAGGGATGAAGCCAACAGGCTTAATGACCTCTGTAGCTCCTCTTCTTCCCAAGCAAATAGCCTTCTCTGAACTGCAGCTGCCACACCACTGCACTGCTCTTCGTAGCACTAATTTGATGCAGTGTTTCCTCTTTCTTAGTCGATAATTGATATAATCTGGGGAACTCAACCTTCAACCCTCCTCTACATACCCAGTCATCAGACCAGAAGAGAATTCTTCTCCTATTACCAATAGATACTTTAAAATGGTCCTCATAAAATTCTCCCAGATGCTAGTTGACAACAGGAAGCTTCACAATGTCCTGCCAAATATTAGACATCCCACCTGTGTGAGACACTGGTGGCATCCAACCCCCACCAATTCTGCCATACCTAGAGCATAACACAGATTTCCACAAATCTTCGCCTTCTTTCCCATACCTCCACCACCATTTTAACAGCAAGCAATCATTCACCTCTCCAACATCTCTCACTCCTAAGCCTCCTTGCCATTTACTTTTGGTGACCTCCCTCCATTGAACCAAGTGCACCTTCTTCTTATTCTCTTACCCTTCCCACAGAAAGGAGGACTGTAGCTTCACTATAGACCTTACAACCCCCTTAGGCATCCTGAACAATGAGAGGAAATAGATAGGCAAATTAGACAGAACAGATTAAATCAAAGACAATCTACCCGCGAAAGATAGGAACTTTCTTTTCCAGGAAGACAGTTTCTTCTTAACTTTTTCCACTACTGGGACCTAAGTGCTCTTCCTTCTTGGGTTGGTCCCTAAAGGCAGACCTAAGAAGTTAAAAGGCAGCCTCTTAGTCAGACAATTCAAGGTCTGTGCAAACTCTTTAGTTTGTTCCTCTTGAAAGCCCACCCCACAAACAACACTCTTGTGGTAGTTAATTTTCAACCCAGACATCACCTTGAAGCACCTCAACACTCTTTTTAAATTCTTCACCTCCTCCAAATCCCCTTCACAGAAAATGATGGTATCATCTGCAAATTGGAGGTGAGATACACTCAACTCTTAAGAACCAACAATAGCACCTTGGAATAAGCCTTTCTCAATAGCCCTCCCCAGTAACAAATTAAGTGCTTCAGCTGCTATAATGAACAAGAAAGGTGAAAGAGGGTCACCCTGCCTAAGCCCCTTTTGTGGTTGAAATTCCTCATATGGTGCACCATTAACCAGGACAGAAATCTTCGCAGTTGAGATGCAAGTCTTCATCCAACTAATCCATTTTTCACCACATCCAAAGTTTCTCATCATAGATACTAGGAACTCCCAGTTTATTGAATCATATGCTTTTTCAAAGTCTTGCTTGAGAATAATCCTCTTCTTCTTAGATCTCATCCACCCATCTACTACCTCATTAGCTATTAGCGCCCCATCTAGGATGTACCTTCCACAAACAAAGGCAGATTGGACTTCACTGATCACAGATGAAAGAACCCTCTTGAGTCTTCTAGACAACACCTTGGCCAAGACTTTATAGACTGAACTGACCAAGCAAATTGGTCTGAAGTCCCCCAAACCTATAGGGTTGTCCTTCTTAGGGATAAGAACAATAAATGAACTGTTGATTCCTTTTCACAACTTACCATTGGAGTAGAATTCATGCATCAACTAAATTATTTCCCTTTTCATAATTTTCCAACAACTTTGAATGCAAGCTAGGTTAAATCCATCAGGACCAGGGGCCATGTTCCCATCACAGTCTTGAATTGCTTCCTAAATCTTAGCTTCAGTAAAAACTTCTTCCAAACCCACTGCTGCCTTAGGACTAATAGTAGCAAAGGGGCCTGACATTTTTGGCTTATGAATCCAATGCTCAGAAAATTGCTGACTGAAGTGCCTAACCACTTTCTGTTTTACCAGCATTGGATCCTCTGACCTCTCCCCCTCCACCAAAACTGAGTCTAACATATTCTTTTTGTGATATCCCTGTCCCGTAATATGTTAATTGGTCCTTAACATGAATGTGATTATGTGTTTAACATAATTTTGTGTGCCATTATGTGAAAATATGTGGTTTTGAATTTCTATCTGTTCACCGTAGGAATATTTGTTCGATTATCTGCTTTGGAAATTAAATTGAAGGCCTTAAGGGCCATTGAAACCAAAATTGATTGCGCCATTGTGATTGGCATAATTTTTAGAGCCTACGGTGAAGTTTAATTGAAAATTGATTCAGATCAAATTAAATTGATTTAATTAGTGAATTAGTGCTCTATTATTTGATATTATAATAATATCACAAGAGGGACTTTTATGTGAGCACTACACACACACTCAATTCCTTCTTCTTACTTGTTTGAGCCAAATTGCTCTAAGGAA